ATCGTTTTCTTGAAATGTCCTTAATTTTGTTGAAATAGCGGTATTTCCCTTATTAAATGCATCTGTTAGAATTGTATATGTATGCCCATCTTTTAAATCGTCAAGAATTGACCTCCTGAATTCAGGTTCTAAAACATTGATGATATCCTTGCTCATTTTTGTTCTGAAGTAAAGTTTTCATTTATCTTGGAGAAGTTAAATATTATGGGGAAAGATTCTACCTACATTGTAATGATAAGTAGCTCTGTGAATGTTGCACTACAAGATAAGTGATTACAATTGCCGCAACTGTAGTTGCATCTGTATTATTTCTTATTTTTGGAGAATATTTTTGTTTTGCAATGGTTGTAGATACACTCTCCTGCACTGATTATAATAATGTGATTGAACAATAATAAATAAAATAATTATCAATGAAATAAATACAATATTACCTATTATATATTTACATCTGATATGTGATAATTAAGCGCCTATCCCTATAATGTTATACACACATAAGGTAGATTTCCAATTGCGGATGTTTTGCGGGACATTCGCATAAAATATATTTTTTACATTGTAAAATTAAAATCGTTTGTTTTTTTATAAAATTTTATCTTGTTTACATTCTTTTATATTTAAAAAGGATCGTTGGATTTTTAATAAATTACTATATTTAATAAATCAAGATGTTATTTTATTTTGAAAAATAGTTACCGACATTGTATTTATATAAACCAATTATAAAAAAATAATAGATGGATAATTAAGTCAATTCAAAATCCAGGCCGAAGGCCCGCAAATTTTTTTTAAGCAATTTTAATATTTCTATCGCAATTTTCATATTTCTCCCGCAAAATACCAAATTTCTCTCGCAGTTTGAAAATTTTGACCTAACAACCCTGGCCTATACCCATGAACTATAGTATACTTTAATTACTTTAAGGATGGGAGGTGGCTTATTTTAAGTTAAAATTTATTAGTGTAAATCTTAGATGATTGATATCTATATTTAAGAATTTATCTATTTAATCCAATTTATCCTTATATTTTGAAGAGAATATTAATTACTAGAAAAGAACTTGAATCAGGAATTTAAATACTACGCGTCTTTAGAATTTATAGATGTGTTAATAGTGATATTGAATTTAAATATATCGCTTTTTTGAAATTTATTAGGTGTATTGGCATATACAGCCAATTGGTATTAATTCATTATTGTGCTGCCTCAATTCGGTACTTTGGTTTTTGCCAAAATTTACAGAGGCATTATCAGCGCAGAAAGCTGACATGCAAATCATTGATTCCCCTAAATCAGCTATATTTATCATTATGAGCTACATTGTTGGATTTTTCACTATCGGAGGAAAAAGTTTAACAGTTTTATTAAAATGTTCTTATTCTTGTTGAAATAGCGAAGGATCGAGGGAAATGTTTTAGTATTTCCCTTATTAGATGCATCTGTTAGAATTACAAATGGATGCTCATCTTTCAAATCGTCTAGAATTGATCTCTAGGATTCAGGTAACACTTGTGATAGCCTTGCTCATTTTTGTTCTGCCACAAGTAAGGTTTGCACTTATATTGGAGTCGTTAAATGTGATGATATAGCTCTGTGAATGTTGAACTACATGGTAGATGATACGATTTCCGCAAATGTAGTTGCATTTGTATTATTTACTATTTTTGAGAATATTTTAGTATTGCAATCGATGTAGATATAATCCCCTGTACTGACTTATATGAATGAAAGATTTATTTATGGATAAAAATAAAACAGGATAGAAAAAAATTTACAAACTAGACATGTTTTTCGAATAAATATTTAAAATATATTTTAAAAATTAAAAATAATCACTTAATGTCTCTCAAAATTATTATTTATATATTAAAAACGTTAAAATACTAAAAAAAAAATTGCGGAGAAATTTAAAAATTGCAGTAGATTTTTGCGGGAGATTTCCAATTGCGGTAGTTTTGCGGGAGAGAGATGTCTGCGTGTAAACTAAAAAATTGCGGGAGTCTCCCGCTGATGGGGGGAGACATGGCAACCCTGGTATAAAGACATGTTATGGCATCATGTACTAGATTGTGGTCGGTGTTTCTTATTATGTGAGCGAGGAACTGTATTCGGCATTTTTATAAAGTTAAGTGTATTGGAGTATGATTTGACTTTATCCAGAGATTTGAGTTCGAGATGACGTGGGTAGTAGATATCATTTATTGTGCGAAGGCAATTGTAAATGAATGATTGAAGATGTTTGTTTTCTGTTTTGGTAATTTCCCATATGTCCCTCATAGAGTTAAAAATCCGCATTCTGGTGAAAACCGAAATCTCTCTAGTTTTCCATATTTTCATATACATATAAAACGCACCCCTAGCTTTTTGTATTCTCATCTTCGTCTCTTCTTTGCAACTCTTTATTATTCAATATTACTCACATGTACTCTTTTTTATCTACAATTTTTACTGCATTATTTCCAACCGTAAAATTTTGAAGCGGTGGCGCGTTTGGGAGAGGATGACAGTTTTGTTGAAATTTATCGTAAGTCCTTCTCTATGACTCAAGTTCTTTATTATATAGAGTAGACCTTTGGTTTCTTATATATTTTTAGATATTACCACTATGTCGTCTGCGTATGATATTATTCTGTTTACGAAATGTATCCTCTCATTTGACCCTAAATCGACTAAATCAGCAGCACCGAGTGTATCTTTTATGACTTTATAGATTATGATATTAAAAAGGAGAGGTGAAAGAGTGCAGTCTTGTTTTACACCTTTTTTTTTTATCTAAAGAATGGAGAATTTTATCATTGATTTTCAAACAAGCATATAAATTAGAATAGTGATTTTTTTAAATGAGAAATTATTTTGTGTTCAATTCCGCATTCTGACAGCGTTGCCCATAGAGCTTCATGATTAACATTCTCAAAAGCTTTATCTTATATTTGTAGCACTTCTGTATAATTATTTTTAGGGATAGTATGGGCTCCAGTATATTCTTGTTAGGCCTATAGGCACATATATATTTAGGAAAAAGATGAGGTTTCGATGATACTATTTTATTTTTTAATAGCACCATAAATATCTTTGATACGCAGGATGCAAGGGCAACATCACGGTAATCGGTAAATTTCTGTGGGTTTTCAGTTTGGGGGAAATTACATATGAAGGACTTGTTCCATTCTACCGGAGTATTTCCGCACTCCCATATTTTGTTGAAGAGGGCTAAAAGAAAGGAATAAGTTGTTCTAAGAGCTATTTTTAGGTATTCAGCTGTAATATTATCCAGCCCCGGAGCTTTTTTTTCGTAATTTTTAAATGTGAGTTAAAGATCTGCAAATAACAGCTCGGCCCTGACCCAGCCAGAAAGGGGTTAGGGCCAGCAGGATCGATTTTTTAAAAATAATTTAGGTTTGAGCTGGGTAGGGCCTAATATATTTTTAAAAATAATTTCAGTTTGATCTAGGTAGGGCCTAGTATATTTTTTTTTAATTTTCAGGCTAGGTTAGGTCGGGCTTAATTTTTAAATTTAATATACTACGTTTAGTATCGTTTAGAAAGAACCCAGACTGGAGTGAGGTGATAATTGCGTTTGTTAGTAGGTAGTGTTGCTTTCCGCGAATCAAACACCGTCATATAGTGGTCAAGCCATAAAGCTATTTGCTCATCCTGGTCAATGATTACTTTTCCATTATTTAAAACTTGAGGGGAGTTTCCTAAAACTGCAAGGTTTGTAGAAATATTTTAATTTTTTGTAGGCGTCGTAGATCCTATTCTCTTTCATATCCTTATCAATATCAAAGGCTTTTTTCGCGATGTAGATCCGTCTATCCCTCCGTAGTAGTCTTTGTATGTACTTCCATAGGTCACTGTTTGAGTCGTTCTCTATTCCTAACTGATTATTTTTTCTAGGGTATCACTAGACATCCATTCGTACCTAGAGAAAAAACTCACATTTGGAAAAACATTATATGATTCTGCAAGATCTCATTTGAAAAGTTTCCAGCATGCTTCTACATTTTCATGCCTGATTACATATAAAAAGTTAGCTTCTTTCCCTTTTAATATTTGATCTAAAAGTCTTGCATCTTTCGGTGATTGTATTTTATAGGGTTTGCGTGTTATATTTGTTCGCAAGGGATAAGCACTAGAACCAGTTGAACCTTGTCTACTTCCGCTGTGATAACCCCATATATTCTTTATGGTGATATTTGCTATGAGTATTTTGTGATCTGACAGATCATATTGGTTGATGCCTTGACATCATCGAACCCTCGGTGAATACTAGATATGAAGAAATCAATTGAGATTTCTGTCGAGCTCTTACAAAAGTGTAGGTATTTATTTCTCTGTGACAAAAAAAGGTATTTCTATTTTGAAGTTTTTGTTATTGTAGAAATCAAGGAATTTATTATATTATGGATAAATGTATACATAAAATATTGGAAAGATTATCGGATATAATTATTAAACTCACCATACATTATAAAACATATAATAAAATATTCATATATATATATATAATCATTGCAACTGACAAATATAACACATAATATGCAAATAAAATATTACATTAAATTACTCCTTTACTACACTTCAAAGCTATGCTTTAAGTAATATAAGCTATATCCAAAGATTCGTTATTCAAGATAATGTCAGTAAAAGTAGTACGACAACAAATAAGATAGAAATCCTGAAATTCCTATTTCCCTACCTCATAGGATTTCTATCTGCAATATTTGTCGTGGATTTCAGGTTGTCTACCTCGACCAATATTGCAGATAGAAATCCTGAAACCCCTATTGCCCAACCTCATATCTATCTGCAATATTTGTCGAGGGATCAAACTTTTTTTTATCACGTATTACGTAATTTTAAAATAATGTGTTTAAAATTTTGTTAGAAAATATAATAAGTGGAATGATTGTGTTATAAAATTGACATATGTCAAATGTCACTTGACCTATTAACGTATTAGATCTAAGGTCACGTGATTTGGCAAACTGCCGATTTTAAGAAAAGAATGATAAACATAGGGATGAAATTAACGAAAAATGCTAAACCTTCAAATATCCAGAATTATAAAAAATTTATAAAGGACCATATTCAAAAATATGAAATTATTAAAAAAAATACTCTTGCTACATTTAACATATATTACAGCGTATTTTCGGAAATGTAAAATTATAAAAATGTAATTGATGTGCTATCTTTTTTAGTAAGCTAATATCCAAATCAAAAATACCCAATATTTTTGTTATCCCATCATCATATTGTCCTTTAAGTAATTCTTGATTAGGTGACGTAATATATATTTAAAATAGTATGGAATGGCATAATAACAATAAATCAGGGTGTTTATAAAGGATGTGCTTTTAAATTTATTATATTAATGTGTATGAATTATCCAAATCAACAAGAGCAACCAGCTAGATTATTTTTTTGCAGACCTCCATTTCACCCTCAAGTTCATCCCACAACAGGAGAATTAGATTTAAGAAAAAAATTTGCTAATTGGGAGTAAATAAATTTTTTTATTTATTTAATAAGAAAAATCATAGATAGCTATTATTAATATAATAATATATAGTAAAAATAAAAATAGATTGGTTGAAGTTATACAATATATCTATGATATATTCTATAACATAAATTCATTTTCAATTGGAGAAAGTCCTTTGAATTCAGAAGCTGCCATTCTCTTTGCTCAAAATCTTAAATTATTTTTGAAACAAATTTCAATAAAATATAAACATGAATATGGTCCTGACAATGTTGCAATAGAGGAGGACACAAATGATATTAAAGCACATATCGATAATTATAATGATTTGCATAGAATTGAGTAAGTTTTTATTAATATTTTGTTGATAATTAGCATTTAATTATCTATGACTTATTTTTTGAAATGGGATATAAATATATCATTTAACATAGGCTTTGAAAATATTTATTTTCTTAGCCTATATTTGCCCATGTGATTTTTTGAATTTAAAAATATTTTTTTTATATTATTGGGTTAAGAGAAGTAAATTTCACTTTGTTAAAAATATTATAGTTTTCTAGAAAATTTTTCCCTCGGGCCACCAAGAGCTTAAATATGTTACCAAGAAAAAATTTATTTATTCCAATAAATTTAAATTAATAATCAAAATAATATAAAATAAAAGGAAATTATATCATTTTTAATTATGTTCAAGAATTAAGATGATGGATCTAAAAAGAAATTTCATAGAGATTTATGCCATATTTTTTTGTATGCCTTCTATGTTTTATTTTTGGACATAATGAACATCGATTATGCCTTCTGTTATAATACACCAATGACCCATTCTATATTATTTAACTATGGCACTTTATACACTAAATCATTTGAAAATATTGGCCACACCCCTTCTGAAGTTCTTTCTGAATTTCAAGGAATAAAATATAATTTTAAAGTTATGATCAAAATAAATTTTTAAATATTCTGCATGATAAATTAATTTTATCTGAAAAGTAAAATGTGGATATTTTGCAATTAAATCATTTGTAACAGTTTTTTTCCCAATATAACTAGCAATTCTGCAATGCTGTTTAGACTAAATAGTTTGTTAATTATAAATAATTATAATATATTATTAGATTTAAAAATCATATTTGTGGTCTGCATCAGGTCTACTTTTTCAAACCCAGCTTGTCTTGAATTTTTTTTAAAAAAATTTGACTTGCCTGGTCCCATCTTGAATGGATTTATTTATCCCAAAAATCTCTACCCAAAATAAAATAGAAGAGCCAGCCGACCCCTTTTAAAATTGTTAAAAATTCTGGAATTATTTAGATAGATAAAAAATATGAGAAAGCCATTTATTTTAGCTCGCTAGCACACGTGGTTCTCGAGATATAGGGGCTAATAGGTACAAAAAAGAGCCACTGTAAAATTTTTAAAATCCTTATATCTCAAAAACTATTAATAGTAAAAATATAATATATCATATTGTAAACTATTTGTCATGGCGGCCCAAATTTCTTTAAATATTGAAAAATTTAATATTTTTTTAGATTGTAAAAAAAATATTTTACAAATAAATAATATTATCACCTTTTGCTTGCAATAATTTTAAAATATATCAATTTATTTGGCAAAATATAATGATATTAAATTTAAAAATTAAGGCCGACCTAACCTAGCCTGAAAATTAAAAAAAATTATATTAGGCCCTACCTAGATCAAACTGAAATTATTTTTAAAAATATATTAGGCCCTACCCAGCTCAAACCTAAATTATTTTTAAAAAATCGATCCTGCTGGCCCTAACCCCTTTCTGGCTGGGTCAGGGCCGAGCTGTTATTTGCAGATCTAACTCACATTATAAAAATTAGACAATAATGTAAGAATTTACAAAAATAATTACATTTGAGTTCTCAATGTTCTAATATCAGAATATGAATAATTAAATGGATTATTTAACACAAATCAATATGAAAACAAAAACTGCTATATATATACAGGGTTGTTAATTGATCCTTTGTCGAATCATGATCACAATCTTTTCCAAAGATATGTAAAAAGGATCTTATCCTATCTAGCATTTTGTGCCTAATGCAAAATAAATGATATAGTATGCCTATTCAAAAACGATTTCAATAGTGCATTATTCATATTCGATTCCTTTAAATAAATCAAATAATTTACTATTCATATTCATAAAATAACAAAATTTACATTTGTTTTCGATTCCGATTATTATAATACTTCGTTTTTTAAAAAAATCTAAATTAATTCATATGAAAGTGTATTGACAAATTTTTTTTATTACACATCTAATTTTAAACAGAAAAATTGATTATAATTATCTGGTATTTTTAAACACCTCGTAGAGCTTATTTTAAAAATGGCTAACTCAATATTTTATGCAGAAGGTTAAATCTATTATCGAAACCTCGATGCTTAGGTAATGGGTGATTCCACGTCAAATCGACCAAAAAAACGAGATTTTCGGCCGACCATCTCAAAAATAAATGAAACTTGACATGTTAGTTATTTATGTTGTAAATGTTAATAAAATCAAAATTTTAGATAGCTAGCTTAATCAGATCCAAAGATATACCGCCCTCAAAGTTGAAAATCGCAAAGTGCGTGATTTCATTAAATCTTGTTATTTTAAAAAATACTTAAGATAGAGTTACAAATTATATATCATTTTATATCCCTTAAAATTTTACGTTGGAAAATATATAAAAAAAATTTAAAAATTTCAAGTGTAGTCTTATTTCCGGTAAAAATGAAAAATTAACATAGTTAGGAAGGGATTTTTTTTGGGTGTTAATATTCACTAAAAATGTTTATTACCTTTATATTAAACGATTTAATAAAAAATCTCGATAGCCATTTTTGTTTTTTTAATTTTATTTGAATTTTTATTATTTTTATAAATAAAAAAATGTAATGTAGATGGCGTTATATTAAAATATTTTTATAATATATAATTTTTAATAAAAATATGAATAGTATTGTGATTAAATTAAAAAATTAATTGAGTATAACCAAGAATGATGTCCTGGTGCGATATGTAAGCAGGCAGCCCATACAGATATTATTTTATTGACGCTATATTGTAAAATAAACATATTTTAAAATTTTATATTCAAACTATTATAATTTGGCGCTTATTAATATAAATTTCTAAGGCCATAATTTGTAGATATATCCTTTCATTGTTGTGGATCCACTATCGTTTTTATTTGAAAATAACGATTTTATCAGCTTATTTTTTTTTATTCCTATCATCGCTACCAATCTCATTATATATTTCAAAACTTAAACATTTTTTAACAACCAAATGAATTTATGATAATTTGTGATTTCTCTGAAAATATGCATTTATAATCCAAGACGCTTTCAATGATTCCACTGGAATAATGATCAAGCCACAATCTATCCTATGATAGCATATTATAATTGTTGTAATATGTAAATTACTTGGAATTAAATTAGAGAAAAAAGAAGTAATATTCAAAAGAAGTAATATTCAAATCGATTGTTTAACAGAAAAACGAAACGATTTATTAGATTATTTGAGTAAAGACGATGCAAATGAATAGGAAAGAAAAGTATATATAATCGGGAATATTTTACTTAAGAATATGATCATGATTTTACGAACTTAATTTTTAATTTATATTAATTTTATTTTTCTTTTATTTTGATTATGTTTTTAACTTATATTTAAGTATTTAATAAAGATTTAGTATCATTTTAGTTCTAACTTTTCTTTATTTGACAACGGTTCTAATCTCCCAATCCTAAAAATTTCATTATTTTACAATGATGTTGGAGAGTGGAGGCGACAGGGCAATTTCAACAATTCAGTCTAATTAACTCTGAAAAGAAATTCTAAATAAAGGGGGTAGGGGATGTATGAAATGACTATCGACAATAAGACAAAGAATGAGAGCAATAAAACAATGGTATCAATATTAATGATCGTAATTCGGAAAAGAATAGTTAGTCGTTTAGCTAAAAAGAATTCGTCACAAGAGATCGTTATAGGTACAAGTTATCGTTTATATATAATATTAGGTTGTGGATTAACCAAAAATCTTCATAAAGAGAAACGGTTTTTCGTCATTAGAAATTTTATGCCGCAATCGAGCTCACGTAGAGATCGAATTTTTATTTGAGATCAAAAGATAAAAGAAATATTTGTCGGATCTTAAGACGAAGTTGATATAGTGACAAGCGACTAGGTAGAACAAGTGGTCTGCAATCGTTAATCGATGACAAATTATCGCCATTGCTTATCAAAACTTTAGTATAAGATACAAAATCGATGATCTAAGAAACAAAAATTCGGGAAAATGGCAGATCAAGTATCGCACATCGTTGATCGAGATAAAGCAATGATCATTAGTTACAAAAGAACGTTACAAACAAGCAAAAGACCAAATTAATTTATCAGGAGAATTTAAGACGTAGTATAGATAATCGTTGACTAGCAATCATATATCGTTTAAAAGCATGCGTTAATCAAGTTGTCAGTGCTAAGAGATCATAGACAAGAAACAACAATATTGGTATTTCGCAGGATGTGGGGTCTAATCTAAGCGTAAGGGTGTTGTAATATGTAAATTACTTGGAATTAAATTAGAGTAAAAAGAAGTAATATTCAAAAGAAGTAATATTCAAATCGATTGTTTAACAGAATAACGAAACGATTTATTAGATTATTTGAGTAAAAACGATGCAAAAGTATATATAATCGGTAATATTTTACTTAAGAATATGATCATGATTTTACGAACTTAATTTTTAATTTTAATTTTTTTAATATTATTTTAATTTCTTATTTTAGTTATAATTATGTAATTAGTATTTATATTAATTAATAAAGTATTAGTAGTTAATTTATTTATATTATTTATTTTATTCTCTAAATTCTCTCAACCACTATATTTGTTGGCCGAAACATAAAATACAAAAATGTTACAATAATAATAATGACAATATAGAAAACCTCAACATAATGTTATTGCAGTACATTTATACCAGACTAAAATGATAAAATTTTTGACCAATCAATTCAGCAAAAAGCCAAACAAAATATATTACAGCTCTTACGGATCAGCTGCGCAATATAAAAACAGAATTTTTTTAAAATCTATGTTATCATGAATCAGATTTTGGTGTAGCAGCTGAATGGCATTTTTCAGCTACATCCCATGGAAAAGGTCCATGTGATAGCCTTGGCGGAACATTAAAAAGATTAGTAGCACGTTCAAACCTTCAGCACATCAGTTCTGGACACATTTTCGCTAGTTGATTTATATCAATTTGCAAAACAAAACATGCCATAAATTTTACAT